GCAAAGGACGCAGGAGATCTCTGATACTGATATGGAAAGATGATCAAGGTATAGGGGGCGCCTGGGTGGCTCAGTGGGTTAAGCATCTGCCTTCGGCTCAGGTCATGATCTCAGGGTCCTGGGATCGAGCCCTGCACCGGGCTCTCTGCTCAGCAGCAAGTTGGCTTCTCTTTCTCCCTCTGTGATCTCTCTCGCTTTCGGTCTCTCTCAAATAAATAAATAAAATCTTAAAAAAATAATAAAAAATAAAAAAATAGAGATGATCAAGGTATACTGTTAGGGGGACACCTGAGTGGCTCAGCCGGTTAAGCGTCTGCCTTCAGCTCTGGTCATGATCCCCGGAACCGCCCCCCCCCCCCCCCCCCCCCCCCCCCCCCCCCCCCCCCCCCCCCCCCCCCCCCCCCCCCCCCCCCCCCCCCCCCCCCCCGGCCTTGGACTCCTTGCTCAGTGGGAAGCCTGCTTCTCCCTCTACCTGCCGCTCCCCCTGCTTGTGCTCTGTCTCTCTCTGATAAATAAATGAATAAAGTCTAAAGAAAAATGGTATACTGTTAGGATGCAGGCCACAGGAAAGGATGTTTACTGTGATGACATTTGTGTTAAAAACAAAACAAAACAAAACAAAACAAGAGCTTATTCTGTGTAAAATGTGTTTGGATTTGTCCAAATGCATTAGGAAAGTGGTCATTCTGGTTACATCCGGGACAAAAGGGTTTGGGGCTCAGCGGAGAGGAGGGCTGAAAACCTTCTGTTTTTCACCTTCTGCCCTCTTTCCAGTTTGAATTTTTAACCTTGAATAAGAATTACATTGAAAAATCGTTTTAAAATCAAACTGCAGGGGCACCTGGGTGGCTCAGTCTTTGGGCTTCTGCCTTCGCCTCGGGTCATGATCCCAGGGTCCTGGGATCGAGCCCCGCATCGGGCTCCCTGCTCCGTGGAAGGCCTGCTTCTCCCTCTCCCACTCCCCTTGCTTGTGTTCCCTCTCTAGCTGTCAAATAAATAAATAAAGTCTTTAAAAAAATAAATAAAATAAAATAAAACTGCAGATTTGAGCCCACAGGTGTTTCAAAGCACGCTAACCCTATCCTTTGCATTCTCTTCCTCATAAGAAAGCACACGAAAGGCTGCCCACCCCTGGGCTCCGGACACCTTGGTCCTTTCTCTCATTTTATATCCGAGAGGGTTTCAAAGAAAAGAAAAAAAACACCCCCTGACCACTCTGTCGGATAGCACTGTTGATGGCTGATGGTTTCCAAATGAGCAAGATAGGCTCTTTTTGATCATTACCGAAAAAAGGAAAATTTGTTTCCTTAGAAGTGTTTTAATGGAAAGGTAATTTAAACTCTATTTTTAGAAACTAGAGAAACTGAATCATCCATCTACTCTACTTACTGTTTTAGTATTTTGTGTTTTCCTTTTCTGCAGTGCATCAATCATATTTCTGACGGCCATAACCCCAGCCATAGGTATATGTCTTGGCATACACAGTGCCAGTATTGCTCCAGGGCCAGGAAACATTCATTTGGAGGAATTATATACCTGGTTCCTTAGGAAGAACACAAAGTCTGGAATTAGGAAGCTACCAAACTAACAAACACACTGCTTGGGGGAGAGAGCTCATCCACCCTCCTTTCCTCTGGGAGTGGGCAGCGGGGTCCTGCCGAAGATTGCCACCTTTGTGTTCCGCACAAGTTTCCGAATGAAAAGCAAGGCTTCTGAGGCTGTAACTGAAACACCACTTGCTCCCTTTGCTAAAGCAGCTTGTGCTGAGTATAGTTGGGGAACAACAGCTTTTCCTGAATCAGTGTCTACTTGTAACACATGCCTGACATTGGGTTGAGAATAATTTACTTTTTAAAAAGATTTTATTTATTTATTTGAGAGCGAGAGAGCACAGAGGGAGAGGGAGAAGCAGACTCCCTGGTGAGGAGGGAGCCCGACGTGGGGCTCGATCCCAGGACCCTGAGATCATGACCTGAGCTGAAGGCAGACACTTAACCGGTCGAGCTACCCAGGTGCCCCATTTTAAGAAAATATTTTATTTATTGGGGCGCCTGGGTGGCTCAGTCGTTAAGCGTCTGCCTTCGGCTCAGGTCATGATCCCGGGGTCCTGGGATCAAGTCCCGCGTCAGGCTCCCCGCTCCACGGGAAGCCTGCTTCTCCCTCTCCCACTCCCCCTGCTTGTGTTCCCGCTCTCGCTGTGTCTCTGTCAAATAAATAAGTAAATAAAATCTTTTAAAAAAAGATTTTATTTATTTGAGAGAGAGGAGAATACTTTAAACTTTCTTTCTGAAAGTTTACGTTTTACTAGATATGGTTGTCATAAATATAACCTGCTTTTTACAACGGATTTTCTTGAAAACCAGATTGGTGGTTTTGCATAGCAACAAACAACACCCCTGAACCACCCAGCATGGGTAGGTGGGGGCGGCCTCCAGTGTATCTTCTCCCGGCCAGCTGTGTTGACTTAGTGCACCTGACCTCCCTGAGCCTGAGCTTCTTCATCTGCAGAAGGGAGACAACAGCTGTGCCTGACTTATATGTTTATTGTGAGGATTAGACGAGATGACGGGTAAGGATGGTGTTTGTAACAGAGATGGACAAACAGCAGGCTCTCCATACAGGATAGCTGGCTACCAAATTACACTTTAGTGAAGGAGGTTTGAGAAAACACAAAAAGCACACAAATAATGTAGTTTATTTGCAAAAATGCAGTGATACTGTGCCAAGTTCAAAGTATTTGTTCATGAGCATAGGGATCCTAAGACTTAGAGAACAAGCCGATATGGCTGTTTTTTTCTTGAGCGTCTACCCTGGGCCAGGTGCTGTTCAGAGAGGCAGGTGCTGAAGGGGGCTCTCTGGGCTGCTCTACCGAGTCCAAAGTCCTTTCCACCATAGTGCTCCAGGCCCTCGTTCTGTACTGTGGCACTGAACTTTCCCCTTTACTTAGTTCTCAGGACTGCACAAGGACTGCCTCAGTGAAATCATCCCAGGTGCCCTCCCACAATGACTCTGCCTTTTTATCTCCCCCATCTCCAACAGGGCTGCACTTGGAGATTTCCTTCAATCCCACTTTCCTGACTACCTTCCAGATCTGAAATTGTCCTCATGCCCCAGCAGAAGAGCTCCCCAATCTCTCTCCAAGCTCCAGGTCCCAGTCCCATTTCTTCCTCCTCTTGGATGTGGTGGGTCCTGGGGGGGCCTTGGGAACACTAGGACTTGGTATCCCAAAATATTCTCACCCACCAGCACACGCCTTGTTGTCTATCCCTTTCTGCCTGGATGCTGGATCCACAAAGAACTGAGCAAAGCCACACGGCTATTTACCTCCCCAAGGACTAGGGCCAGAGGCAGGGTGGGCAGGGAAGGGATGGAGAAGGAGTGACATTAGGTTTTGCAGGAGCTGAGTCTTGTGGTGAAAGCTGAACACCCAGCCCCGCAGGAACCTTGATCCAGGAGTGTCCCCACTGGAGGCTCTGGGCAGAGGAGTTAGAATGTTTTGGAACTCTGGAGAGGGGGCCTTGCCGGCCCTCCAAGCCTTTCTGATTGCCCCAAAGCCTCTATGAGAAACAGTTAAGGGGCTGGGCCCAATCCCTCAGACAGGTTTGACATCTTTCAGCCTTCCCCTTGCACCTTTTCCAGACGAGGTGAGCTCCCAGCAGAAGACACTTTCACCAGCAGCCAAGTTCTCACCCCCAACAAATAAAACCACAGAGCTCTCTCCAAAAGAGACGCTCTAGGGTGAGGCTTGGACAGCACGCTCCAAGCCCCCCGCCCCCCGGGGATGGATGCTCCGAGGACTCCGCCAGCCCCGGGAATTTGGCTGGGCTCCACACAAGCCAGGTTTATGGTTACAGATGCCACCGGGGCCATGGGCGACCACTCTGTCCCCAGCACCCCCCAAGTTCGGGGCTTGCACACAAGGCCCGCTCCATACTTTTGCGTAATGCAGGGCCGAAGGAAGGAGCGACTCCACAAGCCCCTGGTTCATCAGATGGCCACACGTTCCGGGCCTACTGTGTGACATGCTCTGTGCTGCGGTCTGCGGGGAAGGCGACATCCGTGCCTGGCCATAAAATGCGAACTAGGGAAACAAACTTGTGGCCTTCCCCAGCGGCCTCCGTCAGAAGGGTCGGCCTTCACACGAAGACCGCAAGTGAACTCCAAAAGCGTCCGGTCAGCGGAGCGATACCACGCTGCTTGTGAACCTTCTCTGACAAGGCAGAGAACCCCGCACTTCCCACACCCAAGATGGCCACCTTCCCAGGCCTGTTACGCAGTTCCGCTTGCCATTCCCAATATGGCACCACTAGCGCGCCGTGGGGGCGGAGCCAAGGGCGGAAGTGGGTGTGGCAGAGACGGGAGTCGAGGGGTCACGCAGAGACTAGCGGGGTGGCTACCCGGCAGTGGGAGCCGCTGGGCCGAGGCGATGATTCCTCCGCAGGAGGCGTCCGCCCGGCGGCGGGAGATCGAGGACAAGCTGAAGCAGGTGAGGCTGGGGATGGGGAGCAGGTGAGGGAAGGGGCCGAGATCCGGGCCGGGGCATTTCCTCAGGGAGGAGGCAGGGCTGGGAGGGAGCAGTCCCTGCGAGGAGATAGGGTTGGGGGCGAGGCCGTGGGGCTGGGACGCGATGTTCGTTAGCCTCCAGCTTCTTGTGATGTGCTCCGCTCCGCTTCCCCCAGGAGGAGGAGACGCTGTCCTTCATCCGAGACAGCCTGGAGAAGAGCGACCAGCTCACCAAAAACATGGTGAGTAACCCTTCAGGTGGGAGGGGCAGACAGGCCTCCAGACTGGAGGAGAGCCCTTTTTACATAAAGCCAGGAGTTCGAGCCTGGGTCATGATGGTGGTAATGTGTGGGTTTCTCTAGCAGCAGTGTGGGGTGTCTCTTATCTAGCTCTCCCGTTTTCTGCTCCTTCACTGACGATGCCGCAGCCCCTGCTGGCACAGACTTTCAGCTTTCTCTCCAAGCTCTCCAGTCTTCGTTCTGTCCTTCCGCAAACATATAGCGAGACTGATTTATGTGAGCTGGGTAGTGGTCGTGTGTCATCCTCAATTCAGGTATTGATCAGAGGGCAAGGGTGGCCTGAGATTTTGAGATTACCGAGGGCAGAGAAAACTCAGCCTTCACCTCAGAGGGCTTTAGGGGTAGAAGGAGCTTTGAAATCAGAGCTGGGATCTAGTTCTCGCCCCTCCACTTCTTCTTCTTTTTCTTTTTTTAAGATTTTATTTATTTATTTGAGAGAAAGAGAGAGAGAGCGGGGTGAAGGGCAGAGGGAGAAGCAAGCTGCCCGCTGAGCAGGGAGCCCGATTCGGGACTCGATCCAGGGACTCCAGGATCATGGCCCGAGCCAAAGGCAGACGCCCAACTGACTGAGCCACCCAGGCACCCTCTCCACTTATTTCTGTGTGGCTCCTGACAGGTAACACTGAGCTTCAGTCAACTCGTCTACTAAAAGAGGCAATGCCAACCTCCCAGCATGGCTGTGAAGGTCATAGGAGACAATGCATGGGAATGCATCTTGCATAGTAGCTGGTCTACAACAGGTGCTCAGCAAATAGGAGTTTCCTTCCTTATTTCTAGAGGAGACTGGAAAAGCTCATACTGAGTAGATACAAACTTTGGGTATGTGTTTAGGAGCACAATCATAAAGTCCTCGTCCTTATTAAATTATTAAATAGAGATTCACCCTCAGAGAGAGAGGGTTTTGAAGGTACTAGCAAAGCATTTGAGGCTACTCTGTATGAAACTACTTCCTGTTCAGTCTAGGGAAGCTTCAGAGAGAAGTGAAATTGAGATTTGGCTTCAGAGGGTGGAGGGGAGTCCATCCTGGGGTGATTATCTTAGAAGGAGTTCATTTGATGCATGGTTTGCCTCCTGCAAGGCAAACTTCATCTAGTTTATTTGGACCACCTCCTATGTGCTGTGCACATGGTGGGTGCTGGGGATACAGTGGTGGACACGTACACCCTATCCCTTCCCTCATGGACTTTATTATCTAGAAAATCAGAGGAGGGGCACCTGGGTGTCTCAGTCAGTGAAGCATCTGCCTTCGGCTCAGGTCATGATCCCAGGGTCCTGGGATCGAGTCCCGCATCGGGCTCCCTGCTCAGCAGGGAGCCTGCTTCTCCCTCTCCCACTCCCCCTGCTTATGCTCTCTTTCTCTCTCTGTCAAAATAAATAAATAAAATCCTTTTTTTATAAAAGAAAGAAAACCAGAGGAAAGACAGCAAATGCCAAAGACCTGGTGGGTGGGTAGAAGCAGTCCTGGGACAAGACTGAGTCCTGAGACTGGGCTGTCCCCCACAGGTGTCTATCCTGTCATCCTTTGAGAGCCGCCTTATGAAGCTGGAGAACTCCATCATCCCTGTGCACAAGCAGACAGAGAACCTGCAGCGACTGCAGGAGAATGTTGAGAAGACTCTCTCCTGCTTGGACCATGTCATCAGCTACTACCATGTGGCCAGTGACACTGAGAAAATCATCAGGGAGGGGTGAGCTAGGGCCAGAGGCTCACATTGCTAATACCTCTTGGGCCAGCAACACTAAGCTTTAGAAGAGAGGGTTTGAATATATTTGAGCCCGGAGTCCCCTGTATTAATTCTCTTCTCTTCCAAATACCACTCTCTTGGTCCTTTCTCTTCTTCCATCTGCCCAGGCTGATGCAGCTCTTTTCCTTCACAGCCCCACAGGCAGGCTGGAGGAGTACCTGGGGAGCATGGCCAAGATTCAGAAGGCCGTGGAGTACTTCCAGGACAATAGCCCAGACAGCCCAGAGCTCAACAAAGTGGTGAGGGGCCAGTGGGCTACTGTGGGGGGCTTGGAGACACCAGTCCCTGCCTTGGTCTCATGAGGGACACTGGACCGTTGACAGCCACTCCCCTCCGCTCCTCTCCCCAGTCACGCAGCTCCTGCCAGTCACTTGTCTATACTCTGTTTCTCCAGATTTGTCTAGTCCGGGCTTCTCATATGAATGGAATCGTATAATATGTGACCTTTTGTGTCTGCCTTCTTTTACTTCATGTAATGTTTTGAAGGTTCGGGCACGTGGTGGTGTGTGTCAGTTCTTCATTCATGGTATGGCTGAGGAACGTTGAATTGTGTGGATGGACCACGTTCGCCACTTGATGGATGCTCTTCATTTTGGCAGTTACAGATGATGTTGCTATGAACCCTCATGTGTACTTTTGGTTTGGACGGATGTTTTCTGTTCCCTTGTATGTTCTGGCTATCTGTTTCTTATTGGGTATATAATTTGCGAATGTTCTCTTTCATCCTGCGGGTTGTCCTTTCGCTGTTTTGATGGTGTCATTTGTAGGACAAAAGTTTTTCATTTGACATAGTTCTATTTATCTATTTTTTTTCTCTCGCAAACCCTTTTCTAACAAGAAGACAGAGTAATGGCCCATTGGGAAAATCATCGGCCAATATTTGTGAAGCACCTGTGTCTTGTAAAACTTTGAGTTTCACCTGTGAACATAGAATTTGAGGGAACATGAGGCAAAGACATAAGCGGAGAGGGCCTCCTGGTGTTGCTTCTCCGGGTTAAAGGAGGTGAAGGCAGAGGAAGGGCCAGCTGGACGCTGAAGCAGCCGAACCCTCTCCCCTCCTCCTGTTGTCTCCGTAGAAGCTGCTGTTCGAGCGCGGAAAGGAGTCACTGGAGTCCGAGTTCCGCAGCCTGATGACCAGGCACAGCAAGGTCGTGTCCCCTGTGCTCATTCTGGATCTGATCAGTGGTGAGGATGAGCTGGAGGTCCAGGAGGAGGTGCCGCTGGAGCACCTGCCCGAGGGAGTGCTCCAGGACGTGATCCGCATCTCCCGCTGGCTGGTGGAATACGGCCGCAACCAAGGTCAGAGGACCCAGGCGGCAGGGCCAGAGGGAGTGGGGTCTTCTCCCCGCTTTATTTCTTTAATCCAGCTGGGTTGTTTTTTTTGTTTTGTTTTGTTTTGTTTTTTCATAAAAAGAAGTTTAATAGGAAATGATACACAAGCAATAAATCTATAGCTTATGTGACTGTGTGAACACGTCCACGGCTCCTAAGCTGCACTTGAGGGGGCCTTGGGCTCAGCAGATTTTTAGGGATAAAAGAGAGGCCAGTGGACAGCCTCCAGACCCCTGTGCTTCAGCCCATTTTTTACACTGGGGCTCTTTGCAACAGCTTGGTTGGGAACTGCTGAAATGTAGTGTTTTCTTGCCCATTTGCATTTTTGGAGTCTCCAGTTTTCCGGTATTGATAGAAAGTGCCGCAGTGAGCATACTTGTGTGGATTGCTTTCCTTATATAGGGAGTTCTTTGGGTGTTTTCTCAGAGATGCAGCTATCAGGTAGAAGTGTCCAAACAGATTTGTACCTTTCTGCCATTGGGAGCTCATCTCCAGGTAGGTGGGGTCCAAAGAGCCATCAACGGTCCCATGGCTCTTTTTTCTTCATTAATTTTATTTATCTTAGCCAGGGCTGTCATGGTCCTTTTTAAAAAATTTTGCATATCATGAATGGCTAAAGATATAGTGTGTTTTTCATTCACTGACATTTGTGGTCTCTTTGCCTCCTATAAATTGCTCACATCCTTTGACCCCTTGCCAGGTGATTGAATCTCGATGTTAATTTTATATATTTAGTTATTCCTAAAAAGACGTTCTTTATTCATTTGAGAGAGAGGGTGTGCGCACGGTGGGGAGGGGCAGAGGGAGAGTCTTAAGCAGATTCCCTGTTGAGTGTGGAACCTGACGTGGGGCTCGATCTCACAACCCATGGGATCATGACCTGAGCTGAAACCAAGAGTTGGACGCTCAACCAACTGAGCCACCCAGGTGCTTCCTAATTTTATATTTTTTATCTAAAAGAATTTTACCTTCAAAACTTAATTAGCAGTTCTATTGGGGGATATTTTCCCTTTTAAGATGGCTTAAATTGGGACCAGGCCATGTGGGTGGCTGGGAGCCATAGCAGATGCTAGGAACGAGTTAGCAAACTGAAATAGGAGGCCCTACTACTGCCCTGCCCACTGCATCTAGAGGGGAAGGAGAGGCAGGGTCCCCAGCTGCCACAGATCTGTCACCCCCTCTCTCCTCAGATTTCATGAATGTCTACTACCAGATTCGCTCCAGCCAGCTAGACCGCTCCATCAAGGGCCTGAAGGAACATTTCCGGAAGAGCAGTTCTTCCTCTGGGGTTCCCTACTCCCCTGCTATCCCCAACAAGAGGAAAGACACGCCCACCAAGAAGCCCATCAAGAGGCCAGGTGAGCCCCGACCCCGGCCCATTAAGCCCCACCCAGAAGGCTGTGTGGGACCTGCATGGCCTTTGGCCGCCCTGGGGTTAGCAGCGTCAGCCCCTTCAGAGCTTATCCTCCCGTTGGCCCCTGACTGTGGGTACAGAGGGCAGAAAGCAGGTGTCTCCCCACCTAGCAAGTCCCCATCTACTGAAGCTCCATGCTCCGGGTGAAATGTCCTTGTGTATCAGCCGCAGCCTGGCAAGCCTGGCTGTCTCGAGCTGCCGAGAGATGCTGTCCTCAGCTGAAGGAGAGGCTAGGATGTTGCAGTGCAAGGGGCCACCGGGAGCAGCACCGGGGAGAGAAAGCTCAAGAGCCAGGGGCTGCTTCCACCTTAGCCCACACTGCCGAGCTGTGGCTGCAGGGACATGCCCGGTGTGGCCTGTGGGACCCGCCCCTCGTGACAGCAGGCTGTGTGTAGAGTGTTTTTCGCCCTTGACCCTCAGAGAGCACCTGCTCCTGCTCAGGCCTTTAATTGGGGTTTGGAGAAAGGGCAGCGTAGAGGCTGCCCTCAGTGGCCCAAGCGAGCAGAGGACTGGTGGCCCCAGCCGGAGGTGTATGGCCTTCTCACCTCCAGTGCAGATCTGGCCGTCACCTAAAAACCTGCTCCTAACAGTGACTGTGCTGAGCCAGCCTGCTGGGCCGCGGCTGCCAGCACTCGGTCGGTCCGTCCCTGTGCCTCTGTGCTTTGGGCAGGGGCTGTCTCCCTCCGAGGCTGTGAGGCTGCCTGCCTTGGCTGGTCTGGGCTCTCTTCTCCATCTCCTCTCTGACAGGCCCACGGCGGGGCCTGGTCTGCACCGCCCCCAGAGTGTTGGCTGGCCGTGGTGGGGCTCACAGTGGGCCTAGTCTGTCCTTGGCTTACGGACCCCAGAGGAAGACTCGGGCTGCGAGGATCCCTGTGGTTGCTGCAGAGTTTCAAGATTGTCAGCAGCCAGGGGTTCGGGACTGATGTGGAAAACTAGGGAGCCAGGCCCCTGGGACATCTGCTCCTGGCTTGGAGGAGAGGAGCAGGGAGGCCTCAGTCGGTCAGTAATTTAATACCAGTCTCGGCGTCCCTGTGGTCACTGGGCACCTGATGGGCTTGGCAGCTGCCCGATCAGTGTCCTTGGTCTCCGACCATGCCAGCAAGCCAGCGAGGCTCCTCAAGGCCCGTGTGCGGGCCCATCTGCTGCGGGTTGGCTGTGGGGCAGGAATCCGATTCGCTCATTAGCAGGACTGCTCACTGAATGGGGAGAACACAGGGAGACAGATGCTGAGCCGGGGCCGTGAACTTGGTCATTAGTAGCTGATTGTCACATGGTCCAAACAGAAAGAAAGGAGCCACTCCAGACCTTGTCCCTTCTCCCCCAGCTTTTTGGGGTGGCTGCCAGAACCCAGGCAGCGTCACTGTGTCCAGAGACATGGCTGGGGGTGGGGGGGATGCAGGAGTCTCCAGGGAAGATGGACCAGAGTTATGTGTGGGGGCCTCTTTCCCGCTCCTAGTGCATCTTATTAACAAGGCAGCTGTTATCGTCTATTTTATATCCCGCATTTTCTGCCCTGAGGTGTCTCATTCCCACAGAGGTGGCGGACCCCGGAGGCTGTAGGCACTGCGGTTTTGTTTTTGTTGATTTCACTTTTGATACTAACTGTTGTTTTTTTCCTCCATGCCTCGAGCATGCCCCCCCCACCCCACCCCCCGTGTACGGTCCTGCCTCCAGCTCTGTGTGGTGGCTTCCATTAACCCCCAGCCAAGCTTCTGAGTTTTCTCCGATTGCTTTGGGGGTTCAGGTGACTTTGGTGCACAGGGCCAGGCTGCCTCAGGGTCTCCAAGCCTTCTGTCTTGGGCACCGCTCTCCCAGGAAGCTCAGTCCTATCTCACCAACTCCCGGGCTCTGCTTTCCTTCCACCTCCGTGTGTCCATGTCCCAGCACTGAGCATGCCTGGGAACTCGGCCTCCTAGTGTTTTGGGCCGGGCCATGGGCCTCTCGGCCTCCGGGGTCCCCAGACTCTGCCAACCTGGCTGTGCCCTCCTGGTGTGAGAGCCTCGTCGCCAGCTCCTCCATCCTGAGCCTGGTCTCTTCCGACTTAAATGCCACTCAGTAGTGTTTTTTATTTTTGGCTTCTCCTGATGGCTCTTTGCCCACCTCGTCTCCTTCACCCACTGCATTTCCTAAAGAGAACTCATATCCAGAACCATGAGGGTCAGGAGCAGAATCGGGAGCCCCGTGTGGGGCACGCCCCATGCCCGTTCCTTCCTGCCCATCTGTAGCGCCTCTGGGGGGTCCTGGAAGGGGCCTGCTGGAGAGATGGCATGTGGGCATGCTCATTGTTGGGGGGCTGGTATGGGGCTCGGGGAGGGGGGCAGGTGGAGGCCTGCTGCTGTTTTCTCTCACTCATTTCCTAGGTCTTCTTGTCTCCTCTCTGTGTGGCTCTGGTGACAGGGACGATCCGTAAGGCTCAGAACCTTCTGAAACAGTATTCCCAGCATGGTCTAGATGGGAAAAAGGGGGGCTCTAACCTCATTCCTCTGGAAGGTAATCACCCTGTGTTCTTCTGTTCCCTCCTCCGCCACCATGTGTCCACTCTCTTGGCAGGGCAGAGCCTCCAAGCCCCCAGGAGGGCCGCGGGAGAGTCCCTGGGAGGGGGCAGGGGTGGGGACAGAAGGTGCCTGGTGCCGCTCACTCCAGCTGGCGCAGGGCAGGTGCTGTGGCCTCGGCCTGGTCCTGTCTGGCCTTCGGCAGCTCTGCCCTCCCTGAGGCTTCCTACTCCCTCCCTGTCTCTGTCCTTGTCTCCTATTTGAACTCAGAGAAAGTTCTTTGTTATGGGCAGCCCTTTCACGCTCCGACCAGTAGTGGCAGGACCAAGCTGGCCTAGGCCTCTGGGCCACCCCCACCTCCCCCAGCTTTAGAAAGGGGAGTGTGTTCCACGAGGGGGATGGGCAGCCTGTAGGCCATGTCCCTCCTTGCCTCCTGTCAGAGGAAGGACAGCCCTGCCCTGGTGGACCTGACCTTCCTTCCAAAGAATAACCCTGGGGAACCAAAGGAGCCTGTCTCGTTCACTCAGCAGTGACATTTCTCTAACTGCAAGTCTCCCCAAACATGGTGAGGTGGGTAAACCCCCTGGGGCCGAGCATCAGACCCTCCTCAGCTGCCAGAAGCTCTCCAGAGCCTTCCTTGGTCGTCCCGCAGGCTTTCTCTTGGCCTTGGGCTTGGAGAACCAGCTCTCAAGGACGGTCTGGGGCACTGCAAGTCAGGCTTGAAATGGCTGTTCCCAAGGTGGTCCGTGGCAGAGGAGGGGCTCAGAGCCCTCTCCGGTGCCCCTTCCCCTGCGCCCCCCCCGCCATCTCACATCCCCTCCTGGAGATCGAGGGCTTCTTCCCTGTCCCCGAGGGGCAGCCCGCCCGGCCCCTGGATAAACGCTGCTTGTGTCTGTATGGCCGACGTCTCGCTAGGTCACGAGCATGATTTCCGAGTTAAGCACCTGTCCGAGGCCCTGAACGACAAGCACGGGCCGCTGGCTGGTGAGTACCACAGCCCAGCCCGAGGGCAGCCGCCGCTGCCCTGGCCGCGGTCCCTGGAGGGCTCTGCTCTGAGGATGAGCCAGGCCTGTTTGCCTCTCTCTCTGAAGTCTCTCTTTTGGGCACTAGGTCTCCTTGCCTCTCTCCAGATGGGAGTGTATGCCTGGCTCTTGGGGCCTGGGCCAAGGGGAGAAGCTGCCGCTACTTGGAAGGTGGCTCCCTGGAGGGCAGGGAGCGCTGACATCTGACTCCAACAACAGCTCCAAAGCTCTGACTCGGAGCCCGTTCCTTTGCTTGTGGGACCAGGTTGCCTATGGGCACCCCCTGCCCCAGCCTCCGCTAGTGGGATCCGGGTCTCCTGGGGCAGCTGACCAGCAGAAGCCCTCCCTTTCTGGGACTCATCGCCCCCTTCTCAAAGTTTGACCCCATGCCAGCTAGCCTCCTAGGCCATAGCCCACTGCCTTCTTAGACATTCCAGGTCTGGCGGGGCTGAGAACTGCCTTCAGTGGCCTGGCATTTTCTCAGATGGGTGACCACGGTGCCTGCCTCTTTGAGGTGGGCACCCACCCGTGGCTGCCCCCTTTCTAGTACAGTTCAGAATCCTCAGTCCTAGGGACAGGTACACCATAGCCAGGAAGCTGATTTAGGGCTCTTCCCTCTTTATCCCTTCATCCGTCTCCCCACCACCTCTAGTACCTGATGCTCTGGGACATAATCACTGTCTGGCAGAGCTGAAAATGAAGCCAGGACAAAGGCTGGATTCAGCCCTGTTTTTTCTCTTCGAAGCAGTCAGGTCTGCTGGAATGCTCTCAGCTTTCTGCCAGAACAGTCCGCCTGGGCTACAGGCCAGGAGCTGGGGAGACCCATGCCCCCCCAGCAGGGAGAGCGGCTGTCCGCAGACCAGCAGCTCAGGGGCACCGCTGTTCCCCCAGGGAGAGATGACACGCTGGACGTGGAGACCGACGCCTACATTCACTGCGTCAGTGCCTTCGTCAGGCTGGCGCAGAGCGAGTACCAGCTGCTGATGGACGTCATCCCTGAGCACCATCAGAAAAAGACCTTTGACTCCCTGATCCAGGTCCTGCCCCGCCCCACCCTGCTCCTGAGCCCCAACCAGATGCCCCTGCAAAAGCTGTGGCTGCAGAAGCTGGAGTTTGGGCCAGACCTGTTGGCCTGTAGCCTTCAACTGTAGCCACCCACCATCTCCACCGTGTATGTGTGTCGGGGGGGTTGCCGTCCCCTGCTGGGGCATGCTGCCTTCCCCCAGCCCCTCCAGCGGCCCTGACCGTCCCTGGGAGGCAGGTCTCACTGCTCTGCCCTCTCTGTGAGCCGCGTCCTTGCTGTGCTCTCTCAGGATGCGCTGGACGGGCTGATGCTCGAAGGGGAGAACATCGTGTCTGCTGCCCGGAAGGCCATCATTAGGCACGACTTCTCTGCCGTGCTCACTGTCTTCCCCATCCTGCGGCACCTCAAGCAGACCAAGCCTGAGTTTGACCAGGTGCTCCAGGTATGTGGGCGGGAAGGCCCTTGGGGACACGGAGGGGGCGGGACCGTGCTGCCTGGCCTGGCTTTTCCGCCCTCACACCTCTGCTCCGAAGCTGGATGGAAGCAGCTTCTGCAGGGCCCTGGGCGAGGGGACTCCCTCCTGGGGTGACGGAACAGGAGGGGAGGCAGTGAGGGGCAGGGGAGTGGCTGGTAGGGAGCCGGGTCCGCTCTGCAGCTGTGTGCTTCCTCAGGGGACAGCTGCCAGCACCAAGAACAAGCTGCCCGGCCTCATCACCTCCATGGAGACTGTTGGAGCCAAGGCCCTGGAGGACTTTGCCGACAACATCAAGGTGCTCTCCCTCTGTCCGGGGCCACCTGCGGCCCTAGGAGCTGTGGGCAGGACCACCAGGGACCTGCCTCGGGAGCTCCTGCAGACGGCAGGCCGCCAAGAGGGGCTGCTAGTCTCCTGTCAGTACCCACCTGCCTCCCTTTCTTTCCCAGGGGGCTCCTGAGCCCTCAAGGGGTGACGCTCCTGCCCCGTTTTTCCTGTCCTGTCTCACTGGCCTGCGTGCCTGAGGGCGCCCTGACCCCTGTCTGCCAGGAGGTGGCACCAAGAGCAGACCGCCCGGGGCCCGGGGTGGGGCCCAAGGCTTTGGGAGCAGGTTCAGGAAACTGGGCTGTTCTTTCCACAGAATGATCCGGACAAGGAATACAACATGCCCAAGGATGGCACCGTGCATGAGCTCACAAGCAACGTAGGTGCTGCCCAAGGTCACCTGGGGAGGGAAGAGGGCCTGGCCTGGCCCCGAGCCGGCACGCTGGTGGCAGGATGGATGGCAAAGTACTTCGTGTCTCCAGTAGGGCAGGAAGCTTATAACCACCCTTTTCACGGGGCAGACCCCTGGCCCTGCACTTGCCTGGAATGGTCCAAGGGGGTGCGTTTGGGAGGAGATGTGACCTTGAGGTCCTGCCCTTGACCTTCCTGGACCTGTATTCTCCCCACACAGGCCATCCTTTTCCTCCAGCAGCTCCTGGACTTCCAGGAGACGGCAGGGGCCATGCTGGCCTCCCAAGGTACTTGGCACCTCCCAGTGGGGCCCCCTACCCGTCCCCCACTCCTCCCTCTTGTCTGGAGACATGGGGCGACTGGCCACCTCTGGGAGAGATCTCCTCTGGCCCTGTGGAGTGGGGTTTGACTGTGCCTTTCCTGACCCGACCTCCCTCCCTTCTTGCTCCTTCCACCGTCCTCGCTCTGGAGAGTGGCACTCCCTGGTTCGAAGATGCCCTGCCTGCCTCGCCCCTCCTTCCGCATTTCTCCACCTGCTCTTGTGTTCGCCTGTCCTCCCGATTAGTCTCACACAGCTGACCGTTCCGTGGGCTGGCGTCTCAGGGCCAGCCTGGTGTCTTCCCACTGACCGCTGCCCTGGCACTGGAGCTGGGGAGGTTGGCATGGAAGGAGGTTGGCATTTCTGAGCACCGAGACCCAACCCAACTTGTTGGGGCCCCCGGGCCCTCCCCTTCCTCCATTTTGGGGGCGAGGGAGCCAGGAGCAGCCTCTGGCCTGCAGTTCTCCAGATCCCTACTTGGCTGCATGCTCCCTCACCTTCAGGGGTCCAGCCAGGGTGTGTCCTGCTGTCTGTGTTCTGGCTGTCACGGGGAGGGGTCTGCTGGACTCGGGGGACACGGTTTCTAACCTGTGTTTGCACTTTGCGTCTTTCTCCCTTCTTTGTCTCCCTCTTCCCCTCTGAGTGCACTGCCTTTCACTCCGTAGTTCTTGGGGACACATACAATATTCCTTTAGACCCCCGAGGTAAGCAGCAGGGCTCTGCAGCCCCATCCTACCCCCTCTGAAACCCCATGGGTGAGGTTCCTTGGGGACGGAGGCATCTGGACAGACTCAGGACCTACTGGGGAGCGGGGGTCAGGGGGGACATGGGTCTTCAGGGCACTCCCAACTCTCTCAGCTCCCTGCAGGGCCACTTCCTGTCCCTGAGCTTATCCAGGCGGCACCCTGAGTGCACCCTCCAGGCTAGCCCAGCACCTGCCTGCCCCCTCCCTCCCCATACACCGCTGCTGCCTGGCCACCTGCTTGTTCAGCGGAGCCCAGTAGAGGAGGTTGTGGGAAGTAGGGGAGAAGGGGGAGAGGCCGTGGGGAGCCTATACTCTAAGCCCCTGCTGTTCACAAATGGGATAAGTAGGCCTCGTAGTAGATAGCGCCCAGCACGGGTCGGGGCTGGGGGGCAGGGGGCGTCCCGCTCCTGTCTCACCGGCCTTCCTGCCGATCACAGGCCCGCTCACTAACCTTGCCACCCAGCCCCACAGAGGGGCTTGCCCTGGGTTCCGGGAAGAGGCTGAGGGAGTGCTCCCTGCAGCAGGCAAGGAGCCTAGCAGCCCCCACCCCCTGCCCTGAGCACCTCTGCGTCCAGTCTGCCTGAGGAGGGCTCAGGGGCCCCTCCCAGGGTTTCCAGAGCTGCTCCCGGGGCTGAGAGGAGGCCGGAGAGGGTCCTGGCTGCTGCCACGGCTGCAGTAACAGGCCTTCTCTCCTCCCAGAGACCAGCTCTTCTGCCACCAGCTACAGCTCCGAGTTCAGCAAGCGCCTGCTGAGCACGTATATCTGTGAGTGCTGTCTAGCTAGCCAGCAGCCCCCGGCACCCAGCTCCCCTGCCTTTTCCCTTCCTGGCTTTGTGCCCTCCTGCTAGTCTCGGTCCAGGCCTGAGCCCCCTCCACGACCTTTGGAATTGTAACCTAACTTCCAGTTTAGGGGCTGAGTGGGGCTGGGCAGAGGGCTTCTGAGGCTTGTGGAGTCTGAAGTTAGGGACAAGGACAAGGGTTGGAGTTGGTTCGAGGGCCATCGATTGGGTCGTTTTGGTCAGACTGCCCGTGCATGTAGCCACACCCTCCCTGTGCAGGTAAGGTCCTGGGCAACCTGCAGCTGAACCTCCTGAGCAAGTCCAAGGTGTATGAGGACCCGGCTCTGAGCGCCATCTTCCTGCACAACAACTACAACTACATCCTCAAGGCCTTGGAGAAGTGAGTGGCTGCAGGTGTCTGTGTGCACGCGGCTCCCACCTGCCCCGGTCCGCCCGCCCACCCTTCCGGGGCTGCCTGTGCCCTCTGCCTGGCCAGGCGGGGAGAGCAGCGCTTTACCCCTTGGAGTCCCAGGATGCGGGGCGGTGTAGGGCAGGCCCCACGGGTGCTGCTGCGGAGACCAGCAACCTTTGGGCCCCGAGAGCCAGTTCAGTCCTCCTCTGCTCCCTGCCCCCCCCCCCCAGGTCTGAGCTGATCCAGCTGGTGGCCGTAACCCAGAAGACTGCTGAGCGTTCCTACCGGGAGCACATTGAGCAGCAGATCCAGACCTACCAGCGCAGGTGGGCCCCGCTGCGCCCTCCCCTCACCCCCAGGCTGTACCCTTCACTCACTCTTCTTGTCCGAGCTTCAGAGTGGGGTCAGTAATGGGGAAGTGCTCCCCCGTGGACCTGGCCCTCTGCTTGCCGTTTAACCACACCCACAGGGTGGAGAGGGACCGCCCGCCCCTACCACCACCAGCTTCCTGGGGGCTGCTATGGCCAGCATTTCCAGAGGGTGCGGTGCCTAGGGTGCGGGCGAAGAAGAATCGGAAGGCTGCCTGACAGAGGTGTGGGGCCGTGAGGCCAAGCGAAGAGCAAGGTTGCAAGAGCACTTGAACTTGCTGAACCTCGCTCTGCCGTGCTCCCACTGCTCCTAGCCTCGTTTCTCCTTCATGTGCGTGTGTCTCCTGGGAGTGCTCTCCCTCCTCCTTGCTTTGTCTGTCCTTTGCTCCCTTCCTCTTTCTCATCTGCTTCTCCGTGTTTACCCTCCAGGAGATTGATGTGAAGTGTAGCTGCTAGTATTTGTTCAATTTATTGAATTCTGTTTCCTGTTCTTAATTTTAAAAGCCGGCAGCTTGAACATTTTCTTTTCCCAAGGAAAAAATCTCAGCTGTGCTCTGCTTAGTTGTGACCCAGATCCATTGCCGAGCTCCCCCTCCCCTAGTAGATCAAGAGATTTAAAAAACAAAACAAACCAGCCCCTGGGAAGCAGTCCCTCCTCTACCTTCTGCCTCTCTCCCCACCTGGCAGCTGGTTAAAGGTGACTGACTACATCGCTGAGAAGAATCTACCTGTATTCCAACCAGGAGTCAAGGTGGGCGGAAGGCCTGGGCTGGGAACGGGTGTCTAGCGGATGTGATACTTTTTGTCACGTTTCTGGGGGAAAATGGACAAGCATCCCACTGGGATGAGCGAAGGATGCCTGTGGCCACAGGGCAGCAGGGGAAAGGGCTGGGCTCAGGTGTTTGGGGAAGGAGCCAGTGGCCGGGCAGTTCTGCTCTGAGGAACACTTTCTCGGCCCTCTCCCACCACCCCCAGCTCAGGGACAAGGAGCGGCAGATGATCAAGGAGCGGTTCAAGGTGAGTTGGGGTCCCTTCCCCTCCACTGCTCCCTGCTGCTGTTACAGGGACATGGGCCCAGGGTCTTTGTCTTTGGGTCACTTCTATTTCCACCTTTTTTGGCGGCCAGGGTTTCAATGATGGCCTTGAGGAATTGTGCAAGATCCAGAAGGCCTGGGCTATTCCTGACATGGAACAGAGGGACAAGATTCGCCAAGCTCAGAAAAACATTGTCAGGGAGACCTACGGGGCCTTTCTGCACAGGTGAGCACTCTGTCTCCACCTACCCAGCCCTGCGCCCCCCACTTCCCCTGCTGGGTCTCTGCCCCGTTCTTCTTCAAGAAAACCCAGAGGGGCGTGTAGGTGTGGGTGACAGAGCCCATGCCCTGGGCTCTGCTTTGGGGCCAGACAGGGACATGACTCAGGGGCACCCTGTCAGGAGTGCCTTAGGCTGAGGTGGGGCTGGGGGGGCCGCCAGCCTGCCCCTGACCTCAGCGCCTGGTCAGGTATGGCAGCGTGCCCTTCACCAAGAACCCGGAGAAGTACATCAAGTACCGCGTGGAACAGGTGGGCGACATGATCGATCGCCTCTTTGACACGTCTGCCTGAGCCTGCTGCTGTCCCTGCCTGGTTCTGCCAGATCAGCCATGTTATTGGACAGATAAATCAGTGTTAACTTGCCTCTGGGCCTGGTGAGTTTGACATCCTTTGGGACAGGGACCTTTGTCCACCCCTTCTCCAGCCCGGAGCCCTGTCCCCGAGCCCTCGAGTCCTGGTTTGCATTTCTTCCTGGAGCTCCCCCAGACCAGCACTCTGCCACAATACCGGGGTTCCTTCCCACCTTAGGTCTCATGAGCCTGCCCCTGCATGGGCCACGTAACGGCTTCCAGACAGGAAAGGACAGAGAAGAAAGACAAAGGGCCAGTGCCCACAGCTCCCTCATGTGTACAAGAGCGGGAGGGTAAACAGCCCACCTCCGGCCCGGTTCAGAGCTGGGGGTGGAGAAAGCCCCCTCAAGCCCAGAAACGTGGGCAGGGCCCAGAGGGGCAGGCCACAGTACAGCCGGAGGCCATGGAGAAAAAGCAAGCGGGATTGAGCCACGCATGGATTTAGTGCGGAAAATGTACTCCCCATCACCCACAGTCCTGAAAATCAGGGGTGTTCTACCTCCCAGGCATCCCCTACGTGGCTGGAGTAGGAGTGCCCTCTCCCCACGCCCTCTGGGGTCCAGCACTCTGCAAAAGGAGTCCTGAGAAGCTCCAGCCACCCTGTGTGGCCTGACCCAGGCTCCTGTTTCCCGGTACCTGGTGCTCCTGGGCCCGAGGCCGAGCAGCAGTAGTTGCAGAAATGGGGACCAGATGACTGGTGCACAGTGGTGGTGACAATTTCAGGAGCACAGCGGGGGTTGGGTGCAAAGTGGCAGCCCCAACTACTTAGGACAAGAACGAATAGCTGAGCTCAGCGAAGACAGACCCTTGAGGCGCAGGCGCAGGCACAAGGCACCAGGGTGATGGGTTTATTTCATGTTCTGCTTGCCTGCTATCAGAAGGGAGAACTCAGGGTGGCCTGGGATCCTCCGGGCTTAGGGAAGACAGTCGTCCTCCCTCCTCCTCTCCCCAGAGACCCTGTCATGGTCCTCTCTCTGCAGCCCTGGGCCCGGCCCTGTCACAGCCTGGGCTGCCCGCCGTGGGGTATGGCCTTGCCAGGGGCTGGGTCAGACTTGCACGTCGCCCACATCCAGAATCCAATGAAGAAGAATTGGCTACACACTACCCCCACCACATACACCAGGAAGAAGATGTGGTCAGCAGCCTCAGCCCAGCTCCTTCTTGACCCCTTCACTCCAGGAGCTTCTGGTGGGGGAGGAGGCAGGCAGTGTTACAGGGCTCACCCAGCATGCTGGCCCAGAGCAGGGGGGGCGAGCCCCGGGGGCTGTCAGCCTGTATCTCTCCCTCCCTTAGATTTACAACCCGTGAATGTTGGGGTCTGGCCCATTCCAGGCCATCTTGAGCTGAAGAAGCACCCTTATACAGAGGCTCCGAGGGGTATAGGGTTATCTCAGGGAGTCTGAAGTCACCTGGGCCCTTAGGGAAGCTACCCTTGCTCCCTGCTCCATACCTGCGTCTTCCAAGGACAGACATGGTGGAGCCCAGGGGCAGTGGAGCCGGCCGACGGAATGCACGGAGCCCCTAACCAGCCTGGTGACCCCTGGCCTCAGCGCTCCGTGGGCAGCCTGTCCACTCTGCCCCTATCGGACCTGCTCCTGGCCTTATTCCTCCCTCTACCCCCGCTCCAGGAGGGGCCCTGCCCACCTGCAGGATGCGGTCCTGGGTCCCCACGATCCTGCTGCTCTCCTTTCGGGGCTGGGCTGAGGATGCCCCCAGCCTGCAGCGCGGCCAGCAGCACGGTCTCCATGGTGCTGACGGACAGCAAGAGCAGCAGCACTGTGAAGTAGTAAACTGGGGGTGGGAGGGGGTGGGGAGGTCAGGGCCAGGTCTGCACCCCTCTTGCCCCAGGAGCTGAGCAGAGCCCCCCAGGGGCCGGGTGAGGGGCGCACGACTTACTGAGCAGCGGGTTGCAGGAGGAGGAGCTGGGCAGGGCCTGCACCAGGGAAGAGTGGAAGACAAGGTAGCCCAGCAGCAGGGTCACCTTGTAGGTGATGCGCTCGGTGGCCCGGAGGGGCAGCAGCCCCCCGCACATGTCAGCCAGCAGCAGCGCCTCCCCAGGTACCAGCAGAGCTATGACGGCCTTCAGCGCTGTGTTCTGCAGGCGCAACTGGAAGGAAGGAAGTTGGGGCTTTGTGGGGGGGGTGCATGGAGGGCTGGGCAGCTGAAAGGTGGCACGGTGGCCTCTGACCACAAGCTTCACGCCCCCATCAGCCCTCATCAGCCACGTTCCAACTCACCGTCACCTGGAAGCAGGGCACCAGCTGCTGGGGTGGGACTTGGGTCTTCAAATCCTGAACTACGTATTCCCTCTTGACACTCACGATCTCGTTCACTGCGCGGGCCCGGAATTCCAGCTCTAGCACTGGAAGGGGGGGCAGGGGAGAGTGGGGAAGCAGGAAGGAGTTGCCCCTGGCCCTGACTCTCTCTTGGGAGTATGCGGCAGGGACTAGCCAGCATCCAGGGCTGATGGGGACTTCTGATGGTGGCTGGGGGCAGACCAGGAGGTGAAAGAGCTCTGTGCATGGGCTGGGCAACACCCCACGTTCTCTCCAGCCGGGGGAAGGGCCTTCTCAGATTCAGAGGTGAATTTTCATTGTAAAACTAAATGCACTTGGCCCTGCTTCTTGGAGGGGGACGTGGCCTGGATTCATCGCCCAGGATATCCTCTCACACCTGCAATATTAGCCTCAGGTCCGGGCAGCAGCTGTAGTATTACCCAGCGGGGAGGGATGTGAGGCAAGGGTGGGGGTTCTGGGGCAAGCTGGACATCACCCATGGGTCTGTGGGATATTTACTGGGTGGCTGCAGCAACCTTGGTCTCTAGGCTTGACAAAAGCAGCCCAGACACTGCAGTTTGGACCTGGCCGTTGAGGGCAGCTGCCGGGGCGGGGGGGCGGCGCGGAGTCGGGGAGATTTGGGAGGTGCATGTGAGAAGCAGGCTCTGCTCTAGGATCTCTTCAGCTCCCCTAAGCCTGGGGTGGACACAGGCTGGCTGCCCCCATGTCAGATGTCCACTGGAGGCCAGAGGCTCCCCCTCCCCTCCCCGACCCCACCCCCCAGCTCCTGTCCAGTCAGCACCAGTGTTGCTGAGAGCGTAGAAGCTGAGGTTGCAGTCGCTCTGGTCCCTGGGGAAGTGGAGGAGCTCAAAGTCACAGTTGGTCTCCGTGGTGAGGGCCAGGTACAGGTTGACGTGGCCATCGGGGTCCACTCGGGCCCGCGGGCTCTGGTCCTGCCAGTCCACCCAGAGCCTGTTGGTGGAGGGAGATAACACAGCAGGAGGCTCAGCCGCTTCTCAGAAGGGGGAGGTGGGGGAGACCCCAGCCTAGCCCAGCTGCCCTCTCCTGCCATCCTGGTTCCAGAAGGGTGAGGGGGACACGAGGCAGTGGGGTGTGCCTGTGGTCTGGCAGGGCCACGGGGGAGGGGGACAGTCACTAAGGAGGGCCTCCTGGCACAAGAACCCTCGCCTCACTTACGCCTCCTGAATAGTGAGTCCCGGAGTCCAGAGTGAGTCCCAGGGCAGTGTGACTGCATGCTGCGGGTGGACACTTGTGTTCCAGGCCAGACGAGTATCCAGCCAGGACTGGCGACAAAAAGAGGCCACTAAGCCTCCCGCTCCCATATATATGCAAGCCACTTGGCTTGGCAGTTTCATGAAGACCGGTACTTCTGAGCTGGACGAAGAGAAGTTTCTCCCACCCCACCTTCCCTACCCCCCGGGCGCTTACCAGCCGAAGCAGCAGCATGGAGGACAGTGTGTACCGCAGGATGTCCTGAGGAAGGGGGCAGTGTGTCACCCGGGGGTGGGCGCTATGGGACAAAAGGCAGGAACCCCCACCACGGGCTGGGGCTGTCTTGGCCCATCCCCGGCTCAGCACCTGGGCCCTATTCCCTCCGTGGCTGGAGGACACTTACCACGTTAAATACATTGGACACGAACACCTGCACATCCACGAGCAGGGGCGCACTCCCATTGTTCGGAATCTGGATGGTTTCCTGAACCTCCTGGGGCCAGTTGAAGTCGAAGAAGGATGGCCAGGCTGAAGGATGGAGGTCAAGGTCATTTGGCTGGGTGCCCTGGGGTCCAAATCCTAAAGCTTAACGACTTTACACTCTCCACCTACCAACTGTTTGCGAGCCAAAGCCACGCCCCTGGACCAAGGGCCCGGTGGTGCCGAGCCTGAGGAAGGCCAGATGGAGCAGCAGGGGCTGCAGGGCCATCATCAGGGGCTGCATGGAAGGCTGGATGGAGCAGCAGAGCCTAAACGGCAACCTCAGTTTCAGTTGCTTCTCTGGGGGACTGGGCAGTTAGAGGCAGGTGCTCTGTGCAAGGGCTCTGGGGCCTTGGAGCTGGCATCCCACCCCAGGGTTCCGCAAACACCTGAAGACAAAGCACAGGGCCCAGCCCCGCCCACCCTGCACCTGCCTAGGCTTCCCTGCCCCGCTCCATTTCCACCACCTGGAAGTTGCCCCGTTCAAAGACTACCAAGCGGACCAGGCAAGCACAGATTCCCGCCCCCAACACACACACCTTTCCCCAACTCCATCCTTCCGATCTGGGCAGATGCCATAGGCCTTCCTGTGTTTCTGCAGCGGGTGCTTGCCTGGTTAAGTACTCAAGCCCTTGCCACAGTGCTCTGCACTCAACATTGTGAGATCCGTAAGCCCTTTTTTTTCCTTAAGATTTTATTTATTCATTTATTTGACAGAGAGAGACACAGCGAGAGAGGGAACACAAGCAGGGGGAGTGGGAGAGGGAGAAGCAGGCCTCCCGCAGAGCAGGGAGCCCGCGGGGCTCGATCCCGGGACCGTGCGATCATGACCTGAGCCGAAGGCAGATGCTTAAGGACTGAGCCACCCAGGTGGCCCTGAGATCCGAGATCCCTAAGCCCTTGAGAATTTTCCTGCATCTCCTCAAACACTGAACTGATTCCATGCAAAAAGCCTTGAAAGGGTCAAGAACTGCAGGAGGTGGGCAAACCCGGGGCAGGGTAGAGGCTAGCTCATGAGCAGAGCTGTAGC